AGAAACAAGGAAAAAAAAAAGAGCAAATGGAAAATAAAAAAAAAAAGAGACTTATTTGATGATCCATTGCAACAAACAACTAAATCAAAAGCCAAAAATAAAAACTAAGATCTAGAATTTAAGCCAAAAAATATATGTTCAACAAGAAGCTCAAAAATCGAGGCTGTAAAAGATTTTAAGACACCCCAAAAACTGGGGAACTGAAAACTAGAAACAACTTTTTTAGTTCTTTCACAAAAAATATGATTATTAATTTATGCACGCACAAACAAACACAGCATTTGAGGGAGAGCGAGAGGGAGAGAGTTACGTACCTTGGTGAAAATTTGAGAACATAACTGTAGAGAGAGAAAGAGACGACAGAGATTTGAGAAATGTTGGAAAAATCGGAAATTTAATCGAATCTGTGGAGAGAGAGAGAGAGAGGAGTTTGTAGATTTGATGGCCACTCTCACTTATGTTAAAATATTTTGCGGTTCATGTGAAGGGATTATGTATAGTGCTAGTGTTTTGAAGAGCAATTAATATTTTATTATTGCTAATTATTATAAAATGAATAAGTCAGAGAATTTATCTACTTTTATTGGATAAGTGGTAATGACTAATTTTACTATATATCATTGTGTGCACATGTATAGCTGTAAATAAAATTTTACATATTATATGTGTATTTGTAATATTTAAAATCACAAATTTGGTAATGAACATATCATATTTTGTAAACATTGTTACTAGTAAAAATAAATAATATACCATAAACAGTTTTTACTTACATGTTAATCTTTATATTAATTGTTGTAATTTAATTTTTACGATTTTGACTTGATACGGAATGTCATAATAGACTGGTTTTAATGGATAAAAAAGAATATAATAGGGAATAAATATACATATGGGCTAAGACACATGTCATAATCTCAGTCTAAACTTGGGCACTAAGGTACACCTCCCCTATAATAAGAGGCCTAAAGTATCACAAAAACACATTCTCTCTACATTCACTATTATATATACACTCATATTGCACTTTATCTCTAGCGAGTGCTGACTTAGGCATCGACGTCAGAACTCCTTCTAGCGTTGAGTTCTTCAGGTATGGAAGCTGCCCGAGTTGAAAGAGCCCGAGTAAAGTTCATTTCACTACCATTGGCGTTGTCTGTGGGAACCATTCGAAAAGCCAAAGAATCGGCAATGACAAATGGTGTAGGATTCCTTTCCAAAGTTTCCTTTTCACTTCCACTCATTTTTTTTATATAATTTTTCGAAAATTAATTATTACTATTTTTCAATAAATTTTGTTATTCATCCACCTACATATTTATAATTACTAATTACTATCTCATTATTTACCTATCATATTTAAATTAATTATTATTTGTTAATCAAAAATAAAAAAATATTCCGTTTGCACCATCAAAACCATTATTGAAGAACGGTAATTTGAAAATGTCATTTTATTCATTAAAGAAAACGAAAAATTATGTACATAAATGGAGAAAATAATTATTTTAGTTTAGCAAAACAAATGAACTATTTAAAAGAAAGATTATTATTGTCATACATTAATGTCTTCAATCTTGCCACCCGTTCCAATTCACTCATTAAAACGTGTATTTTGAGCATGACATCTGCATTTAAACATATATAATATCCACATTAGTGGCAGAAAATACACGATTGGTGTTCTCACAAGGAAGAAACATAAGTGGAGTACTTACTACAAAGATTCAGCTGCTTTTAAGCTATAGTTGTGGTAATTATGCTACCTTTCTCATGTTTGACAGATGCATTCATCAGGCTAGGAAAATGAAATTTGAGCAAAAAAATAATTGATGTCCAGCTAAAAGTGAGCGTCCGTGAGAGCTCTCTCATGGATATGTATTGTTAATTGTACATTTGTTTTTAAGTTTGTCTTTGATTTTCGAGGGAACTTTTTCTGATGGATATATATTGGTAATTGTATATTTTGGATTTTTTTCCTTCAAGTTTGCCCTTGATTCTCGAGGGAATTGCTTGTTTGATTCACTTTATAACTTCAAAACTAGTTCCTGTGTTTGAATATTTTTAACAACATTTCAAATATATAGCTTGATGAAGTCAAATACACAAGACTCCTCCCCTCTCTTTCGTATACATGTTGATATGATACCTTGATGAAAATCAACATATCTACAAAATGGAACACCTAAGACCTTATTGGTTATAAATTACCTATTCAAGGTGACGAGATAGGTTTTTCAAGTGAAAATCTAACTCAATTCAACTATATTCAATATTATCAATATAATTAAATAATATCAATCAATCAGTTCACACATAACATCAACTTTAATTCACTATTCATCAACACATAATTTTCACTATATATAATTTCTCATCGATCATCCTTAATACTTACATCAAATCAATTTTAATTATTCTATATAAATATTATTTTAATACAAACTCAAAATCTCATTCTAATTTAAATCAATCAACGTTTTTAAGATTAATTTTAGTTATCAAACAAAGCCAATCAAAACCAAAATAACGTATATCTAATCAGCCTCAAAAGATTCAAGGTATATCTGTTTCGCACAGGCTTATCATGCCATTGCATGTTATGATACATTGTACGTGAGTCAACACAGGCAAAGCGTATAGAAAATCTCATTTCCACACATTTGCACATCTTCCAATTTTTCATCACCAGAAAACCAGTTATCTAGTGAGATAGTATATGACAAAGAAAATAACCCCAAAAGATGCCACAAGAGTAAACATCCTCCGGCTAGATTTGGTCTCGAACACCTGGAGTCAAGTAAGTTCGCATATAAACGAAAAGTAATAATCGATTGATGGAAAAATAATGGGTCAAGAATTAAGTTTGAGAAATATATCTTAAATTTATCCATGGTTCCAGAGAGAACTCCTATCGAGCCATCCATGTCGTTCCCCTAAAATTCAAATGTTAGGAGCAAGTGTTTGCAGTCAATAATTTAGCAAATATTAAGGATGCATGATTAATTTATAGTACACAAAACATTCTTTCCAGCATAAGGTTGTGAGACTCAACTTCCTCATGTATACGCCTGACAACTGTTCGTTTCGGATGAACCACAGTTGGTACATCAGAGAAAAAAAGATATCGAAGTTTGGATATCATTATACACATATATAATTATGCAATTTCATTTAGGATATAATAACTGAATTCAAGCCTAAAACACAATAAGGAAACTTGAGGGACCAAGACTGCGTTCACACGCAAAAATGTGAAAACACTTCAGGGCCCGTTGCAACCAAAGCTAATGCCTTACTATTATACTTGGCCTCTATTTTCAGTTTTCAACTTTTGGAACATGTTTTCTCAATGAAGAAAGCAAAAACAGCATGACCAGTAGGAAAATAAAAAAGGAACAGTAAATTATAAAAGCTAGCAACTGAAGACTAGAAACTATAAAAGCTAGCAACTGAAGTCTAAAAACTCGGCTTTTTACGAGGATTCACATATTATATTCTTGTTCCCTATGAATGTTAACCACATAAGAAAAGGGAAAATAAAATTTATAAACGTTAATGCCATCAATAACAAAACCCTTACATTAAACCTTAACCAACTTTGCAGTAAGATCTATGTGCAGACTCTGAAAACTATACTTCCAACTTCTTATTCACCTATGAATGTAAGAAATAGTCTAATTAAAGCAACAATCAAATTGCAACTTCTTGAAAATATAGCTTGCTCTTTTCAGCATATTGACTCGATCTTGAAGTCCATCAACTGCTCTATCGTTCTCATGCTCATCAATCTCATGGGATGAGTACGAAGAAGATGCCCTTATACCTCCTTCCTCGATACCATCAAATACAGCAGTTCTAGAGTTACGATCCCTGAAGTCGAATATATTCATAAAATTTCAGAACATAGATATTAACTAGATAATNAAAAAAAAAAAAGAAAAAAAAAGATTTTATATCGTCAGCTTTCAAAACATCAACAATGTGCCTACATCATTAGTTCAATAGCAACATTTTTTTATGTCATGACAGTATATCTGAAAAATTACCTTGAACTTTCTACCAATTTCTGTTATTCACCAACAAAGCTCGGCAGAAATCAACTACATGACATCTAATGGACAAAGAGACATCTCACAGATAGTAGAGATAGATGCAACCTTTTCGTGCAAACTTCGGTTGATAAAGGTAAAAGCAAAACTTCAAGAAACGGATCGAATTTATGAATGATTTGTTCGAGATTTATCAATACCTCAATGATAGATATCGTAAGCAACATCTTTGCTAATCTGGTTCAATACAGGGATTTGGGATTACAGACCAGCCCTACAACAAATGAGCATCTATCTGAATTTTTAAGGTTCACCGCACTGATTCCATCTACGTTCGGGACAATTTGAGCAAGCTAAGTAATAATATCACACATTACAATTTTTATGTTACGGCGTGCCGCCATATCAAAACCAACCTCCATAACTAACCATGAAAACCAGCAAAAAAAAATAACACGAAGCGCGAATTAAGCAGCATAAAATCCGATACTTCTAGTAAGCTAGCGTCACTCATCAGTTGAATTGCTTACAGTATCAAAGCAACATACATCACATGGCAGTAGCTCAATTGTTCATTTCACAGTTTCTTTTTTCAATTAAACAGTAAACAATAGAAAAAGCAAAATTATGCTAGCAAATCAAATCAACTTTCTGTGCAGAAATTGGGAAAACAATGAGCTGAGGACGAAGACGAACCTTCTGGAATTCATAACCGTGGGGATTGAAGAACTAGGGCACAACAACTGAAACAGAAATCACCGCGCAGCTAAGAACACTAATTCTGAATCAAATTTATACAAAGCATAAATGATCCATCAACAAGCACACAAATAGTTATAATTCAGATTTGAAAGAGCAAGGGATCCTGTTAATCATGACAATGGAAAATGTTTTAGATTACTATTTGTCTATAAAAAAAGTATAATATTTTAGTTAAAATTATAAAATATGTATTGAAGAACTATATTTATCTAGTAATTATATTTGTCTAATGAGAATGACTACAACCCCGTTACGCCATTATTCCATCAGTGTTACCGGATCATTCCGTAAGTGTTTCTAATCGTAGATTATCTACACTGCACTCATCTACATTGTATCTAACAGTTAAAAACGTTCACAAAATCTATACTTATATTAAAAGGTATACCATTTACCAGATTTAGTATAAAGAAAAGTCAACAACATTTATTGTATTACTATTTTTGTATTATACAATCTATACTTATATAAATTAGAGATTCTATTTACTATATTTACTATCCAGAAAAGTCAACTGCATTAAATGTCATTACTATTTTGGTATTATCATATTTGATTTATTTATTTGTTTTATTTTAAAAAGGTAAGTATAACAAAAAGATTTTAATAATAAAAAAATCAAATACCAAATAAAAATGTATATTTTGACTTATTTGATTATATTTAGTATTTGATTATACCAAATATATTTCTATTTAGTATATACATTAAATACTTACTAAAGTATTTATTTGTTTTATTTGTCAAAGTTAAGTATAAATTTGTTTATATTATCAAATCATAAAAAAATATTAAATCCATATTGTAAAAAAAAATCATATAATTTTATAACAATTCTACTACACTATTTAACAATATTTATTATTTATTATATAATAAAATAATAATTAAATATTATATGGTGAACAACAATAAGTAAAACTGTTACTTTCTCTTATATCAAGGGATAAATTTATATGCTAAAATTAAATTTTTATTAGTATAAATGTTTTAGTGAGACAATATATTAATTATTTTACAAGCTAGCCCTAACATGCTCATATTTAATCTTTTAAAAGATGTAGAAAAAAAAGCTTATAATAACTCTATTGTTTTTTAGACTTAAACGTTGATTAAAAGAGGTAAAAATTCCTAATTTTTTAGACTTAAACGTGGATTAACACCATAGATTGAGAGTTTATATTTAGTAAAATTCCTAATTGTAATAAAAAAATTAATTTTTCTATATTTTAGAATATCTTTAAATTCTTTATAAAAAAAAGAAAAAAAACTACAATGAAAAAAGCAAGTCAGCTATATATCGATTTGTTGTACTCCTCAAATCGCATTCACAATTTGGCTACAAGGAAATGAAACTCATTGATTAAAATATTATTTTGTCAGAAGTCTTAATGTACAAGAGACTTTAAGACTCCACTTGAATATTATAAATTTTTTATTGAACATTGTACAATTTTTTTGCGTATTATAAACTTTTATTATATATTGTATCTTATAATATAATATTCTCCAAATAAATATATCTCGTGTTTTGTACGGGTCACGTATTATATATATCTCGTACATTTTTCTTTATTCATGTATATAGTTATAAGTCTGGATAAATAACCTTAAAATTGTGCACCTCGTGCATCGCACGGGCTCTGTACTAGTGATATTGTAACGAGCGTCATTTTGTCTTTTTCTATTATTCCATAAAGCATTTAATGGGCAACATTTTAAAATTGGTCATATAATTTGGTCAATTTCTATTTTTTCTCTTGATAGTGACCACTTTTAAATTTGATCTTATAATTTTACATTTTTCTAAATTTTTGTCCATTTTTATCCACATTTTTGATAAAAAAGTTACGTGGTGTGACGTAACGTCCAATCAAATCTATTTACGATTTTCCAGCGTGATCTGGCACCTCACTGCCAAGTGACACATACAATTGGATAAAATTATGAAAAAAAAAAAATGCTAAAATAAGCCTTTTTTATTTAACCAGGTAATTAATCATCAACTTAAAATAAAAAATAAAAAACTAACATAAGTCTTTAATTTTAATTTCCCCCACCATATGCTGTCCGCCATCCCATTAGCGTCCCATATGCCCACCGCCCCCGTCCGATAGCCCCAGCGACCAGTGACAGCCCCCCTCGTTCCCCTCCTTCAGCGGCGGCCACGTTCCCGAACGATGCCGCTTAGAGAAAATTATTATTAACAATAATTCAAACTCTAATTTCCTCAAATTCCTAGCCAAAACTCCCCTAATTTCTCCATCCCGATGAAGAACTCGACCCCAGAGTCCCACAGCCGACACGGCGACGTCGACACAACCCCCCTCTCCCAACACTCTAGATCTACGCGTGCGAAGCACCGAAAATGGTGGAGTATGGACCGAAAAATTGAGACCAGAAGCCTCCAGTATGAAGAAAAGGTACTTGGCCGGAAATTGGGAATGCTCGCCAGAGTTAGGCGGCCGACGAGTGGGCTGAGGTGGCTGGCATCGCACGGCATAAAATGTGTGGCCAGCGCAGTTGTATTTGCTGGAAAAGATGGGTCGCCGGTTCCGCAGATGGTGGGCGTAGTCGGGTGCGACGTGAAGAGTCCGAAGGTGTCCTCGGATTTCAGTGGGTCACCGTGAATCTCCAGGAAATCAAAGAAAAAGACTAGAGTTTGACCAAAATTTTCTAGATCTAAAAACTTTGACCAGGACAATTACTGACCTTACCGGTAGTATTTTCACTAGAAATTTTAGGAGGTGAACGGGGACAAGAAGATCTTCAAGATGATGTAAAAAAATTTTCAACCGGTGGTGGTGTTCGTCCGACGAACAGCAGTAGTGGGCGGCGGAGCAGCTGCTGACGTGATGTGCTTTTTTGGGTGTTGACCCTGTCGATTTAGGTTTAAGAATTTAGAATGGATTATTGTTCACTGCCTTTTCTAGTCCCGCCATGTAAACCAAAATCATACATCATATTAAAAAACTATCATGTCACTTTTTTATCCAATATGTGAATAAAAATAGATCAAAATTGAGAAAAATGTCAAATTATAGAACTAAGTTTGAAAGTAATCAATATCGAGGTGCAAAAATGAAAAGTGACCAAATTATAGGATCATTTTTGAAATTTTGGTGCATTTACTGTAAAGTAGGTAGAAGTCAAACTAGCGAGGGCTAAGTCTGCAAACGAGCAGGTCGAGTCGAGCATGGACCTTGTCGAGCGCAAACGCGTTTCTCCACTTCTCGAACTCGAGCCCAAGCTACCGAGCCATGTAAAATGTTGCTTGACTCGATTAGCGACAAAAAATAAGAATGTTCGAGATTAGCTCGTTGCGCGGCATGGCTTAACTATTAAATTTTAAATATAAATGTAAAAATTTTAATCTCAATTGACAATTTTGGCATTGGTGTTTTAATATTGACAATTAAACTATATGGATTTTCATGTAACTTAAGGTACCGTGGGTGCCTGCCTCCCTTCTTCCTTCCCTACGAATAAAAAGTCGAGTGGCTCGTGGAGCTTACGAGCTTCTTAAAACGATGCTCGAGGTTTGACTCATTTGCTCAATTAAATTGCTCGAGCTCGACTTGAGCTTGAGTTTGACCGAACACGAATCGAGCATTGAGCCGCTCGACTCGTTTGCAACCCTAATGAGGACCACATTTTAGCTTATATAGAAAATTAAAACAACTTTGACTGGAGTCGAGCTTTTGCCAAGTTTAAAATGTGTGGACTCAAACTTAGGCTCAACTTGTAGGTTCATTTTCGTTTTACTTAACGAGCTTTTTTGTGAGCCCTATGAGCATGGGCTTGTTATTCGTTAAAATTTTCACTCTAAAATTAATGGTTTATTCACTACAAAATAATTGTTATATTCCAACGGAAAATCCTATGATAATATATTCCAACCGAAATTTCAACGGATATTCCAATGGGATAGCTTCCGTTGGAATCTTACGTTGGAATGACTTTTCCATTAGCATTTTAGATGAAATTTGATGATTCCCACGACTATTTTTCCAACGGTTTTTTACTGTAGGAATTTCTGTTGGAATATGCAATTTTTGTTGAAATTTTTATTTTCACCT